ATTTATCATTAATAGTTAGTTCATTGAGATTGCGGTAATCTATGACTAACCGGAACTTTTGCTTTCCAGATGCATCGTTTTTCTTTGGAACGATTATTACTGGTGAGCAGTAAGGGGATTTGGATTTACGTATGATATTTTGTTTTATCATATCGCTTATTTGTTTATTTACTTCCTCATCGTATATTTGAGGATATTTGTATGGACGCTTGTAAATTGGGTCCTCATGTTTTGTTAGAATTTTGTGTTTAATTGTACTAGTGAAAGTCAAATTGTCACCTTCATGGTACTGGATATCACGAAATTCATGTAAAACTTTTTTTATTTTTTCTTTTTCTTCTGAGTTTAGGTGCTCTAGCCTAAACTCATTGTTTTCTATTAATTCATTATTAATAGCGAAGTTAAATGGTCTGTCCTCTGTTGAGGGTGGATCAAGGCACTCTTGTGCGGTCATGTCCTCTTCGACCTCTTCGTCGTTATATCTAAAACAAAAGTTAAATTCTCCTAAGGTTACGGATCCTTGTGCATAGTCTATTTTTGCTTGACATGCCTCAAGGTATTCTCTCCCAATCAGAACATCATAATGCTCTGAGAAGTCGTGAATATAGAATTTTTGTTTGCTCGGACAAATTTTGCTTGCTCCTAAGCGTATACTTTGTTTTAATTCAATAACACCATTTATGGTGTGAACCTTTAATGTTTCGTTGTAAACTGGAAAATTTAAGCGGTTTGTTTTCATTAGATTTATGGTTGAACCTGTGTCGATGACACATTTTAGAACTTCGTCATTCATAATCAATTTTATGAATGGATTTCTTCTGTTTGTTCCGAGGCTTGCTGATGAAAATTTTCGGATGTATCCATTTTCATCTGCCCACTGTTACTATCTCTTTGACGTTTAGTCGGAGGGTTTGGTGCATTCAAGCGTGAATGGGACTGATTTTGGTAGTTTAAGGGATTTTGGTATCTACCTTGACTTAATTTCTGTTGGAACTCGTGGTGAGCTTTCTGATTGTCTTCGGACTTACTGTGCTGTTTATTTTGTGCGTGATAACTCTGATTTGTGTTGGAATAACCACTTGAAATGGTGGTTGGGTTAGCATTTTGCTGATAATTTCCCATGTTCCTACGATTGTTATTTGGATTTCCCTGAACATTATTATTTTTAGGTTTTTCAGTAACGCTATTTTCATATAATCCCTCTCTTTGAGCTACTTGCTTTAGTTTTTGTGTCGACGTAATGTCGTGTCTGGCTAACATCATGAAAAGCCTATCTGGTAATTTTTTTGTAATAACATCTTTGATTGTGTTATTCATAGCATTTGTATAAAGGGTTGTATTGCTAGGTATATTTTCTAGTGCTAACTTATTTAATATAACAAAAGATTTATTCTCGAGCTCCTCGATGAACTTACGGACGTTTCCTTGGTAATTCGTGTTGTATAAGCGTCGAAGGAGTTCTTCAAATGGTGTCTGCACTTTGTATTCTTCAATCAATGCGTTTCTCAGCTCCTGCCAAGTGTTGGCTGCTGTCCTTTGTGATATTCTCTGAGCATCTCCTGTGACTTGCAATTCGATGGCTCCGTATAAGATGCTATGTTGTCTAACATCTCGGGTTGGATACAGGTGTAGGATGTAATCTATCCTTTTAATGAAGGCGTTTAGTTGATCCGTTGATCCGTCAAAGCTTGGCACCTGTCTAAGTTGTGAAAGGGCCTGGTTGAGGTGTTGTTCTGATAATTCCATTGTCATCTTGGTGTAATACACTTTTTTTTGAATAGTTTTGAGTTTGTAGGTTTGAACTTTATTGTTCTTTGATTTTGCACTTTTATTTTAGGTTAAAGTTTGTGATGGATTATTGGTTAAATGTTTTTTTTTTTTTGTGTGTGTGTCTTAAAAAGACTCAGTAATAACGTATTGCAGGGATCAAACGATATGCAAAGCCAGTCGTTATTAACTGTAGTAGCTTTATTGCCCAAAGGGTCAATATTATTAAGCTACTAGTGACCCGAAGGTTCTTGTGCGGATACGTATTCGAGAAAATTTTTATTACACTCCGACAACACTTTCGGTCGCGATTGTGCGTTAGATCTGGGAATTAATTATCCTTTAGCGATCTTTAATTTTTCCCGACGTATCCTACCGACTGCGCCAATTAAGTTTTACACGTTAGGTTACTATAAAAAAATATATTTCAATTTATTATTTTCACTTAACGGCTACTTTTGTTGAGTACATTCAGATTTGCTTCCCGAATATGAACTGATTTATCTAACTGTTGCGGTCGCTTAGCAAACTTCGCTTTGAGAGAGTTTGAGTCAAAATTGAGTGAAGTTTGAGCTGCGTCAGCAATTATGCGTGGGATAGTACTCTGATGGGAACATTGACAGTGGCGTGATATTTAGGGTGAATTGTTTATGTCTACCAAAGGGGGACAGTTTGATCTTGACCAATGTCGATGTTATCACCAGGCTCTTTGTTTACAATATTAGAAATGTTTATAATTGTGCTTATGCTTATGTGCTAAGTTATGTTAAAGGGTGGGTGCGACTATGGATATGTCACTATATATATATGGCTGCATTTCGTTAGATTGAGCTCTAGGAATTATGTAGCAGCACGCGCTGTTAAACAACTTCTGCATTTATAATACAATTAAAATGAAATTTTCGGGGTATGTAAATTAAGACGTTTAACAGAATGTATATGCATAAAATAATGAAGCTTTAACATCCCAAATGTTATTATTATGGGTAAGTTGACTAAGGAGTAATACAAATATTTAACATGTAGATGAATTCGAGTAAATGCATACCAAATTTAGATATTGTATCATTCACGATACTCGAGATCAAATAAAATTGGTGATAATGTTTAGATAGCATCTTAGTTAAGGCCAGATGTCTATAAAGGCAAGGAAAGTCCGTTTACAATCTCTGACTTAACAAATATTCTACTCAGCAGAACGATTGAGTTGCTGTAGGCCGCATTTTTTAGCAAACTCTTCTCTTTTTTAGCCTGTTAAGAGAAAAAAGACAGCGGAAAAAGAGTTTCTTAAATATTTGCAGCATTTCTTTTGTCTTTCATGCTCAGGCGTTAAGGAAGACAAGGCAAAGCATCCTTACGACTAGCTGTGAGACAGCAGAAAAATAGTTTCTACGAGATAGTAAAAAATTGTATGTCCCCTTGTCACACGAAAAATCACATATTGCATAGTTGCAGAATAAGGTAACTATAAGAGTCAAGATTCGTATAAGGAAGCTAGTCCCCAACCGCTTGCTTACCTACTAAACTCCGCTTGACTGTGCCACGTGGCTTGCTGCTGCTGATGGTGACGGCAATTGTTGCCGTTGTCTTGGGCTTTAACTTGGGCGCCACCGCGAGGGGCTTCTGTCTGCCGAGCGGTGGGGGCGGCAACGGCAACGGCAGATCCTGCGTGGCGCTGGGCAGCGCCGATGTTGAGACCGAGGTGCTGGCACGCTTATAGCCCTCGGTGAGAAATGCGGGCGGCGGTGTTATGGGCGGTGCCGGTATATACAGCTTCTCATCCACCGGCGAACTGGCGGCAGTGCTGGGCGCCGTAATCGATTCGCGCAAACGTAGGCCGCCGCCGCTGCCGCCGCCAGGCTTCAGGCTCATGGTTTGGCTGGCATGGGAACCGCTGGCAGCCGTGTGGCTGGCGCTGGCGCTGCTCTCATTGCAATAGAGCTCCAGATGATGTTTGTCGCAGCGTCGCCGCCGGCGTATATTTGGCGCAATTGTCTTCATTTTGGGGCCATGTGCGCTGCCGGAGGCGGCAGCCGATGCCGCCGAGCGAGAGCTGGAGGAGGGGCTGCCGTCTTTGGAATTGATGCGTATATAGTGTACACGAAAGATGCGTACAGGTTGCTTAGATTGTTGTTGTTGTTGCTGTTGTTGTTGCTGTTGCTGTTGTTGCTGCTGCTGTTGCTGCTGCTGTTGCTTTTGTTGCTGATGCTGCTGTAGATACTCCTTGTAGGTCTGCTTGCGCGGTGTTTGAAGGCTGCACGCGTTTTCGTATTGCAGCATTGATTTGCCGAATCTTGGCGTAGGGCTGATAACAATTGGTTGCAATATATTGCAAATATGTGTTTTTATATAGTATTATTTATAATATTTTTTAAATATATGTAGTATATATGTTGATTTATATGTATGTGTCTTTCGTATATTTATAGAAAATAGTAACTTTTTTATATGTATTATTCTCGTTAAATTAGTTTGCTTTTTAAAATGGAAGCTTTCAATTGCTGCGTTTGTAACTTTGTTTGCATTAATTTCTATAATGTTTCTGCTGTTGCTATCTCTATTTCCGCTGCTAATGCTGTCTCGCTCGCGATTTGTATATTACTTGGCTTTGGAAGTTAACAAATATTTGCATAGTTCGGTTTATCCTTCTGCTCTTCTTTTGTTTGCATAATAATTTGACTAAATATTTATTTGGATTTATTTTGTATATGTATATATATATGTATATGTATTTGGCGTTGATTTTTTATTTGCACATCTAATAACAGTTATGTATTTGCTTGAAACTATTTAAATATATATATATATATATATGTTTGTATGTATATATTAAAAATAGTTTATATATTATTTATTGACAACATGAATTCGAAGCGTTTGTTAATATTTTATAAATATATATTATATAATGTTGTTTCCGTTTGTTGTATATTTTAGCATAAATATTTGCGCTTTAATTAACTGTTTAAATCAACTCACATCAATGTACTGAAAGCCTCTTTAACGCACGTCTTTTGTTAGCTTTTAAATCAATATAAATATATTTATATTTTATGTGTATATATGTAAATTTTATTAACGTTTTATCGTAGAGTTAAAGTTTATTTTTTTTTTTTATTTATAATTCTTTAAAATCTTAGTGTGGTTTTTGTTGTTTTTGTTTTTTGTTGTTGTATTGTAGACTTCACTTCAAGCAGGAAACAATTTTCTTGTTGTTGTCGTTTTTTAGTAACTTTTTTTTGTCTTTCTTTTAGAAACTCTTGGAAAAATGTTCTGTTCGGCTGCGCCTGTAAATTGAGCAAGTCCTTTAATTGGATTTCTTCAGAGCCTGCCAATAAATTTGTATTGGCAGGCGATGAATGCAAATTTTGGCTCTCCAAAAACTTTCTCAGCGACATAGTAGCTGTGCATGTGTGTGTGTGTGTGTGTGTGTGTGTGTATTTGTGCCCGGCCCCCTTTCTGGTATTGCTAATCAAACAAATGCCACAGAACGCGCCGCAATGCTCATCATTATGTAAATGTTGATTTTTCATAAAATTAATGACTTGGCAGCACATTGGGGCAGGCTCTTAGAGAGCCAAGCGACCCGAGTTGGATTGGATAAAAGTTGATATTGATGTATTGGCATGAGCCCTATTGATAGCATTAAAACGTGCCCAAAATATTCGATTTGATTTTACGATGTGCCATAAAAAGACAAGAAGAAAAGAAACCCAAAAAAAAAAAAAAAAAAAGCGAAATGGGCGTGCCAAGTAGTATAATTAAGCCAATGCCAGGCACAGGATCAACGAGCGTGAGTAATGTAATTTTGATGTTTGTTTGCTGCCCGACAAATTGAATCGCACAGCGATATAGCCAAGCATACACAAAGTATATATATATATATTAGATATTAATGTATATAGCTGTGTGTATCTACAGCTCAAGCCGGGAAAAGTCGCATATGGCCGCGTCGATTGAGGCATCCAATCAGTAATTGCGGCTGCGTTTTCTACCATAACTTGTCAATCGGCAATGGATGAAAGGAATAAAGCAATTGATATGGCCGCGACTACAGGCATACCCTGCAAGTAGCACAATATTTACAGGATGCTCAAGAGAGAGAACAAACGGTCTATGGTAATTTACAAGGTATAAAGCCAAGACCACAGTACTTGATTTATATAAATAAACCATTTTAAACCACACGCTCAGACTAAGCTAAGATTCCAGAACTTGCGATGTCTAAGCCACATTTTATAAAGCCTCAGTATTTCCTCTTTTTTAATTACAGGTCTCTGGTCTCTTTCTCAGACTAGGATTAACATCTTCAGGCTCTGCCAGGTCTTAGCCTCACCACTTTCTCCTTTTCAATTACAGGGTATCCAACTAAAGCTGACACTTGTCAGCGCAGCGCAATCCACTTGTCATCTAGTGCAGGACAGAGCAAAAGAATTCCATTTGCGCGCAGCTATCGAGTTGCGTTCGTAATAAGCCAATCAATTCAGTGTCAGATGAACTGCTTCATTAATTTCACTCGGAGTTGAATAAAAGGCGAGCCCAATGCCAGGACACCAGGAATTATGAGGAGCAAGCAGTAGCGGCAGCAGCCACAGACAAACTCTAGCATCCAATAAGCGACGCATGCCACAAAAGTCACGTAAGCCCCTAGGAGTGGGACATAGGAGGCAGGCAGCAAACGAAGCTGAGAAATAAGCCTGCTTAGCGTGGCATGTGGCCGCCTCAAGGACATTGCAGGATGTGCTGCCAGATGGCTGCTGCCTGCTGCCAGGCGTATCAGTGCGTATGCCACAACTTATTATTTATGTAACACAGCCAGAAAAAATGAAAGAAAAAGGGAAAAACAGGCTGCAAGCAGCGTAAAAACTTTGCTCTCAGGTGCGTATTTTAAAAAGCAACAGCTAAAGGCAAATGCGCGCCAAAAAACACATTATTTCAAGCGCGGCGGCCGTAAACAATAATTGACTGGACCAAAAGAGAGAGAGAGAGAGAGAGAGAGAGAGTTAGGGCAAATGGTAGAAAGAGAGAGAGGGAAGTTCGGGGCTCGTAATGGCCGCTCGTTAGATGGCATTAGGGAGTGGCACACAAATTGAACAAGGCAACGGCACTGGATAATGGCCAGGCAATAGGCGCGGACATGGCCAAATCCTAAAGATGCCACGACTTGAGCCTAACAGCAAAATGTAGTATGTGTGTGCGTGTGTGCGTACGTGTGTATGCCGCCTATACACTAATTGTAAAAGTTTAGGCCTCATGTCAATTTGCACAGACTCAGCAAGTTTTTGCCTTATTTGGCTATTTATTTTAGCTGGAGCAAAACTAAAACTTGTAATTGAATAGCGATGGGTAAATGTGTGTGTATGTATGTGCGTGTGCGTGTCTTTGTGTGTGTGTGTGTGTGTGTCAAATCAAAGCCACAAATTGAAACAAGTTGCCTTTAGATTTGTTTGCGTAATTTACTGATATTTGTAAAGTACTTGAATTAGCTAATACTACTTTGTTATTTGTGTTTGCAGCTGAAAGGATTTGTGTACAAAGCGTATTCAAATTATACAAAGATAGAAATCGACAGAATATAAAACTAGCTTATCGACCACTTCATATTCGTATTTTAATTGAATTGCATTGTGGGGGGCGGGTTAACCGAAATGTGGTTGACAAAAAGCTGCATAGCAATTTAGACGAGCTGTCAGATGAGCTTCAAGACAAGTTGTCGAGCTTTAGTGTGAGCATCAAGTATGCGAGCTTTAATGCGAGCTTTAAGTGTAAAATTATGCCAGCTTTAATAGCTTAAAGAACTCTTAAGGCAATCAACAGTAAGGCGTAAGATAAGCTAGACTAAAATGTTGCATTAAACAACTGCAACATTCTGTGCAGCGTTGTAATTCCCAAAGGGTTCTATCTGCCTGCCTAATACATGCAAGGACAACTTGTTTATTGCCATTAAGAAATATATACATTTCGGTTTTGTGCGCACAGTCTTTTATTGTTTAATAAATAAATGTCAAGCATAATGCTTGATCAGCTGCCATAAATTATTTCATATGCATTTCACTTTAATCTTTCTAAAAAGAAACAATTCCTTTTACAAGGGTTATAAATTGACCTAACGCACAGCTCCGATTTGTTTTAAAGTTAGATAGCTGCTAATATGTCTTATACTTTGCAATTTTAAATATGTTCTTTAAACGAATCAACAGAATTGTCAACAAATAGAAGTTACTTTTCGTTTGACTTTTATTTATTAAGTCCGAATTGCATAAAAGTCGCATACAAATAGGACAACTTTTGTGCATTCAAAAGTAATTCACAAAATGCATGCGAATTCGAAATTAAAAAGCGCAAAAAGCGCAAATGGCAGCTCGTCTGCATTTTCCACAATATATTTCAAATTAATTATGACTGCTGAAGCTACACACACAGACACACACACACACAACCTATATATATATCGCATATATATATCGCATTTCAATTTAATTAACACGCCAATTAAAAGGCGACGCATGTTAAAATAACCTCAAAATTAATTGATTGCGTTAAGTATGCGTAAATTTCACTCTTTCAGTCTTTCACTCTCATTGCCAAATTGATTTACACACAAAAAACACAAACGAATGACATGTAAAAATACACATGAATTTGTCATGCAATAAATTCACGCCGTGGAATGCATAAATGGGTGAATTTGTGATGGCGCCTTGACTTTGTGCCTTGCTTTTTTTTTTGGTTTTGTCAATCTCTGGCCACAGTCAATGCACTTTCTGTTGTTGATTATGCGGAGAGAGATGATGATGTTCATGATGATGATGTTGATGTTGATAATGAGTGTTGTGTTTGGCATACTTGGAGCGTAGAAAGAGATGGAGAGCGAGATCGCAGACCATTTGACAAATCTACTCAAAACAAATTCAGCTTCGTTCACGGCCAATGCAAAATAAATGTTCGAGATGAGTATTTTGTAGATATTTCGCTTTTGGCGTGGGCGTTGATATACTTTTTATTTGTCGGACAAATCATAAACTTTGGCCACATAAATTCCAAAACATAAATATAAATTAAATTTACACCCAAAAAGCACACTCACACACACAGACACAGTCACAGAAAAACGCGATGTGTTTAACAGCTCGTAAATGCGTATTGAAAAAAATTAATATCAAAATAAATCAAGTTCAAAAACGAACCAATTGAGGGGTAGGTAACGGGGGGAAAACTCAATCAAAAAACGAAAAGAACAACGCGTCAAATTGTCTTTCGTATCACATCACAAATGTTTTGGCTTAAAATTTATAAACATTTCCAGCCTTTAGCTTTTAGCCAGATTTTCTATTTATTATTATTTGTATGTGTTTTTTTTTTTTTGGTATTATTGCGTCGCTCGCTGCACGTTGTGTCCCACTGTTTGGAAAATTGCTTGCGATCTGGCTAAGGATTGCGGCCGACGCGTCTGAGTATTGCCAACAAACTGATGCCAAACGGAAGCCGTCCAAATGCTTTTCATGACACACTCGGCCGAGGCGACGCGGCCACTGAAAATCAACACACAGCAGCCCAACCAAACAGCGAGACTGCGACTGCGACGGCGACAACAGCGGCAACTGCGACGGCAACTGCGGCGGCAACGGCGACTGCGACTGTGGCAGCAACTGATAAGCACAAGAGAGCTTTTATTTTTTTATTTTCTTTTTTTTTTTTTAGGCGAAACGTAAGAGACTTTATGCTCGCCCAAGTGCTCTGCGGCTGCTCTCTTCGGGCAAACTTATAAACTTAAAGTGGGCACTTGGATCAACTAGTATAAACAACTTAACGGCACACACAATAAAGACATTAGCTAATTAAACTTGGTTAAATAGTGGCAGTAAATAGTTAATGATTATTAATCCCATTAAGAAGTATGTTTTCATATGAAATAAACAGTTTATAAGGGAATTTAAAATAAATTTATATCAAATTAATGTATTGCCATAAGTTCTTAACGTTTTGAGAGTTAAACCTTATTATTCAACAAGGTCCTTACTCAAGACTCAAAACTCAAAATAGGTTCAAGGCTGAAAGTAAGCAAATATGACTACATCATGTCAGACTGTCGCGTTGAACAAGAATATATATACACTCAAGTTTGACTGAAGATGTCTTGTTTAAAGCTCTACATATTAAAATACCCTATATTAAAGATTATTTAAAACGGCATGATTGTTAATTTAACCAACTATGTTTTACGTACTATAAAAATGGGTAAAAAATTAAATCGAAGCTAATATTTTAGTTATTATTTTAATCAATTCAACAATGTTTTTCCTTTAGAATTTAAGTGCCTTTATTTTGTGGTGTAGGTAACAAAAGCTCGCGTGTCTTTCTCTTTGTCTGATTGCACGGCTGAGCGAGCTTTTATGCAACGCTCCATTTAACATTGGCGCTCTTTTTAGCGCCCTCTCTCCCTATCTCTCTCCCTTTCTCTCTCTCTCTGTCTCTTTCTCCACCTCTCACTTTCTCGCTCTCTCTTGCGCTCGCTTTGTCGCTCATTTTTCAATGTGTGCGTTTTGTTTATGCTAGGCCTGTTTGTTGGCCCGGCACACACACACACACACACGCGCACACCCCCACACACACACTCAAGCAGTCCCTGTTTATGCATACAGTCCGATTGAAATCAACCAAAAACTCAACTTAAGAGTGGGCGGAGCTGGGCTGGAACCTGTGGCTTAACTGGGGATTATGTGCGTCAATGCAGCCAACGTCAATGCCATGGCCAACTATGTGCGTCCTTTACATATATATATACATATATATATATGCATGTGTTTGTGTGTTGCCTGTTGCATATTTTCAAGCAATATTTTGGCCTCGGCCGCGTAAAAAAAGACATATGCAAAAAACTAGTTGGGAGTTTTAATTAAAAAAAAAAACCCAGCCACGCACTGAACACGCCCCCGCACACACACACAAAACAAAAGCAAAGCAACTTTGATTAATTATTGCAATTAGCCAAGAAGAAGAAGAAGCAGCAGCAGCGGCTGCAAAACTAACTGAAATTAGCAGCTCTTGAGTAAATCAGAGAAAGGCAAAGAACAAGGCAACAAATTAGCATAAAGGCAGTTGTCATTAGTTACGCCTGAAAGCAGACAATGCCGTTTTTTTTTTATTTATATAAAATTAGCTGCTTTTTGTTTCCCCCGCTCTTTTGTTTCAAAGTCATCGTGCAGCAAATAGAAACTTGACTAGGTGATGGCAGCGCTTCAAAGTCATAACTTGAGCCTGTTCAAATTCCTTTTGGCGTCCTTTCCTTCTTTTTTTTTCTGCTTTGGCGCTGTCACTGCCAATGCCATATCAGCCAACTTCCTGTGTCCCTGTGCCATGGCTTCCAATGCCAGCAGCCGCATTGTCAACACTTCATTTCAGTTTGTAGGTGTGTGTGTGTGTGTGTGTGTGCGGTGGTAAGCGTTTTTCATTTGCAATCAGGCGCTGTGTGTATTATGTACATCCTGACGGGACGACTGCCAAAGGATGTGCCCCATGCACGAAGGTCGTCCTTTTAGTTGCTGCTAAAAATAACATTGCCCCGAAGCGCCTGTGGCCCTGGCAATGGGCCATGCAAAGGACATTCGAGCAGCATTTATATTTAGTGGATTGAAGGGGGGGTAACAAAATTAAAGGATAACACTAGGTGGGCGGCATAAATATACCTATTATTCCCGATTACTATATGTAAATGGATATAATCTCTATTTAATCAAAATCACATATTCCATGCATTTTGTTTTAAGCGTTGTCTATTTGTTTTACAATATGTGAGCTTTGCAGGCTTCGACTAGGGTTTAGGCCAGCGGGTTTAAGGTTAATTTTTGGGTTTATTTTACCAATAAGAAACAAAGCAGAAGAACAGGTTGTCTGAGACATATCCTGACTAAATTAACAGACTTTGCTATCGACTTAAGGTTTGCCTTGTCTTGTTTGATGCTTAAACTGGTTGCGAATTACAACCTTTAGCGAGATAAGAGCTCAGCTTTACTGTCTACTTAGCTTGATTTATACCTTTAGTTCTTTAGAAACGCTTAGTTTCTTTTCTCTTCCTTTAAATATTCACATAGCCTTATAAAAAATATACAAAATAACCTGAATCATAAAGGAACAAATTTATGAGAGACCAAGTAATTGACAACAAGGAATCCCTTTGACCCTATTTGTTATTCAAAATATTTCGTTATTTGACTTTAAAGCTAGTTGCCCATAAATAGAAATAAAATGTAAATTTCGTTGATTTCCGTTTTCAGTTCTGGAGCTTCCTTTATAATCCACATATAAAGAAATGGGTCAAAATGATGCCAAATATAGGGGATATCTGATGCTCAAAACCAACTCAAATACATATACATTTATGAATGTCAAATGGGAGTCAAATGAACAAAACAAAATGCCCCGCAGGCTAATCAAAATTAAGATAATGCCGCATATTTTCAAGCTGCAAGTTCATTGGGGACGCAACAACTGCCAAGATACGCGACGCAGGACCTTCAGGGTCAAATGAATTTGCTGCCACAACAGCAACAAAAACAATTGTGACAAATAAAAACAAATAAAAATACAAATATCGTGTTGTTGTTTTTTTTTTTTTTTTTTTTTGTTTGGGCCTTATAGTATAGTTTATGAGTTTACCGACAGCGCACAGGATAACGACTGGCTGAAAAAAAATGTGTGCGAGGGCAGCCAGCCAAAATGCAGGAGAAAGAATGGCGTCCTTCCGTTCCAGTTGTTGTTCTTGTTGTTGCTGTTGTTGTTGTTGTTGTTATTATTGTGCCATTGACAAGCCAAAAGCGATGGCAAACAAAGGCAACACCGAATAACAACAGATAGACAGCAACAGACCACAGACAACAGCAACAGCAGCAACAGCAGCAACAGCAGCAGCAACAACAACAACAACAACAACAACAAGGACACTAGCAGAAGGGATGACCGCGGGCTCAAAATTCCAAGGCAAATGAAAAATAAATACCAGAAAGATACAAAACAACGAGGCAAGACACCAAATGGCAGCAATGCAATTGAAAATGTTGCGGCAGAAGCAACAACAACAACAACAACAACTAACAAAAGCACAAATAGCAAAAACAACAACAAAAACTAAACAAAACAAAAAATCCAACAAAAATGCCATAAACAACAAACCACAAATATATAAAAAAAAACAACAAAAAGTAGCTTACATAATCACAGAAAAAGCAAGAGGCAAGATGATTGGCTGCAGCAGTGTGAGCGAGAGAGAGCAGCAGTACGAGAGAGCGCCACAGCACGTGTTTGTCTCACAGCCTGTGTGTGTGTGTGTGTGTGTGTGTGTGTGCATGTACATTTGCGAGGCTGTGTGTGTATGTGTGAGCAGCCTGCGCCTTGAAGCTGAACTTGGGCTATTCAATGTTTTTACTTGAACTTGAATATAAGCGAGAGCTCGCTTCCTCTCTCTCTCTCTCTCGGTCGCTCGCTCTATCTCTTTCTCTCTCTCTCTCACTGTCACACACGCTTGCTCTCTCTGCTTGTTTTGCCATGCACACATACGCCGCGCACGTGCTGAAAGCTTTTGCGCACCCACACCCACACACACACACACACGCATATTCACACGCTCTCTTTTGACTCTCTTAACTCTGCTGCTGCTGCCGCTGCGGGCAGCCAGTTTTTTGATGGGTATCATCAAAAATGCGAGTGACGCAAGTGATAAAAAATTAATGCAAGAGAGAGCGCAACATCAGCAACAACAACAACAAAAACAACGACTAACTATTTAGCATCTCAATGATAATCTTTGAGCAATAACTTAAATGGTTTTTATGTGGCTAACAGGTTGAGCCCGCGCCCCAAAAAGGCGGCAACACAAAAATAACAACAGCAAAAACTAACTGTACAAAAATGGCGTGCCAAACGTGGATCAAGTGTTTAACAGATACCCTGTAGCAACTATTAATAAATATATATTAATTAATATATTTAAGTAAATTATAAAAATAAAGCTGCTACTTAAATTGTATTTAATATTATATTTCCGATATATAGATAGATATCGAAAGGGATTATAAGTTTAATATTCACAAGATGTAAATAGAAAGAACGTTAGTTTTATATATATACCACATAGATCGATTGATTGTTATAGATTGGTAGAAGTTTAAATAAGAAGATAGATAAAAGCATTTCCTGATTTAGTTGCCAAATTGATCTAGATGCCATCTAGGATAATAGAGGGTATACTCGGCCACGCCACGGGCACAACAGTAAAAAAAAGAACAGGCCAATAGGCGCTTAATGCTAAACAATAAAAAGTACTTGACCTTCTGCTGTATCTACGCCCCTTAAATATGCATAGCCTTAGCCTAGTTTTGACCAAGTGAAAAACAAAAACTTGATTCGAAATTTTAAGTAGTTCTTATGCGGCCATTCGCAATATTCATGAGCCCCAGTCCAAAAGGTGGCCAATAAAAAGAACTGAAGGCTGGGTAAATTGACTAAATTGAATTTTAATAATTAAATGCAGGCACAGTGCCTCCCAAAAAGCAACAGAAGCGGCAACAGCAGCAGCCGAAAAACTGCCCAAAAAAAAAAAAACAGAAAGCCGCCCACGTGTAAATTTGCATGCGAAATTCGGTTAGGAAAACAGCTTGAGGAGCTCACTTGAAACATGTCGTTGCATAAATAAAACCGTTTTAAAGCACAATGCTGACAATGAATATAATGACGATGACAATGACGACGATGAAGGGGATGAAGGGGATGATGAGGATGATGATTATGCTGCTGCTGCTGCTGCTGCTGCTGCAGATGATGATAATTATGTTGAGGGAAAATGCGAACAGCAGGACGTCGTCGACTTTGATTAACTACAAGAACTTGAGCAACATTTGCATAAGTCCCGAGTCCTACACAATTGACAATAGAAAAGCCCATTGAAATGGAAAAACAAACGACTTAAAGCTTCAAGTTAGAGTTAATGCCACATCAAAGCTGGCAGTAAGTGGATTATGCACAAAAATCCACATGGATTATTAAAATACATGTATTTCAATCAGCAAACTCGTTTGTGAGAATCGCATAGAGAGGCACGTATCTTTATATGAAGATATGTTAAACTAATCAAAAGGGGAGTCATTTGATGTTATGCTATATTTATAAGAAAGTCCGTAAAATAATTAAAACCAGAAATCAAAAGCACGAAAATTAAAGGTCAAAACTTGAAGTAATAAATAAAACAAATGGCAAACATTTGAAAACTGTTTCAACTTGAATGCGAATTTGCCGAAATGCGCATTAACACAAATTTATATAAGTGCTAAATCGTTTAATTCAGTTGCCTTCTTATAATGGCCAAAAGGAATTGGTGCTTAACCGTGAAACCCAGTCTATAAATTAAGTGTTCAGTTGCATGAACAGTTTGCCAAAAAGGCTAAAATAAAAAAAAAAAAATAAAAACGCCATAAACAAATTAGCCAACCTTGAAATCTGGTCTGGGCACACTTCCTTTTGCATAGCCAGCGAACCAAACGCTGCCCCCAAAGCCCCCTAATCCCCCAGACTCGCCCCCGCCAACTAAAAATGCGAGACGTTGTAAGTAATTCATTTTTATGAGCTGCTCTGCTTGCCACAGCTGCGGGGGCACGTGTACGTTGCGATGCTCGGACATTTGGCTTTGGCTTTGGCTTGGTTTTGGCTTTGGTTTTGGCAGAGCTAACGCAAACAAATGTTTATCATTTATAGTTGTGCAATGCAAATGGCTGAAAGCCACAAAGCCGAAGCCGGGCGAAATGCTGCAAGAGAATCCTGCGGTGGAATTCAAACGAGCGACGCTTTGAATGCTGAGTCAAGCGAAGGACTCTACCTGCCACAAGAAAAACAAAAAAAGAAGAGTGAATAGAAAAGTTGTGCCTCAAGTGGCTGGCAAAAACAATAAACAAATGCGACAACTGGCACAGCCGAAAGATACATCCTATACATGCTACAGCGTGTGTGTGTGTGTGTGTGTGTGTGGCGCGCAGATACTTTTTGCGATATTTATAAATCATCAGCCAGTGCAGGCAATTGTCAGTTTGTCAAGGCCAAGCACATAATTAGCTCGTAAATGGCAGCTTGAAACTGAAATTGAAATTCTTGTATACACTGAGAAAAAAAACGACAAGGCAGCCATAAATCAAACTAACTGCGAGATACATGCAGCCTGGCGGGGCAAGCAGAATGTGTCTGTGGACAAAGGACACAAAAAATTGTTGCACAAAAATGCGCTGTAATTGCCGAAATCAAATGGCCGTAATTTAGGTTGACAGGCAACGACAACAGCAGGCACAACACGAGAGAGACAGAGAGAGTGAGAGAGAGAAGATAAAAAATAAAGGACACTACAATTTTATTTATGCAAATCGCAAATCGCATGTGGCATGTGGATTGTGGCATGTGGGATCTATACGGCTCGATGTGGCCACACAGGAACTGGCGTCGACTGATGCCCATATTAGAATTATGCAAATGATGCGACACAAAGCGAGAGCGAAGGAGAGAAAGATAGAATGAGAGAGCGGACCAAATTGAAAGTTAGGAGCAGGCAGCTGTATCTATGTGCAACGCATCCTGTGCACGTTTTGCTGTTATCCTTGAGCCAGCGCCAGGATCGCTGTTGCGAATTAACAAGCAGCCAAGCAGCCAGCCTTTTAAATATGGCCATAATTTTAGTTGCTGGCTCATAAAGTGGAATGGCTTTGATTAAAGAACAGTTAGCCAAAAATTCTGTTCAAGGCATGCCACAGACTTGGCCCAACTATGTGTGTGCGTGCGCGTGTGTGGCAAGGTGAAGGGCATATACAGGCATACAACAAAAAGACGCCAGCCACATGTCCTTGCCTGTTGGCCACAAATGGGAATGCGTCTTTATGTACCTCCATATATAAGCCCATATAAATATCTGTGCAGAGCCCAAAATACGAGGGCTGCTCATCAATTAAAAATTAAGCTCTCATAGACAACATTATTCTTTGGCTTAATTAAATGGAATAGAATGAAATGCATGGAAGGAAATTTAAATAAAACATTTGAGTTTTCGGTTTTTCACACACATAAAAAAACAAACAGTTAACCAAATACTTCAGTAACTAAAAAATCAATATGAGCTTTAGTTACAGTTTAAAAATATGCGAAAAATTGATCTCATATTAAAACGTGCGAAACGGCAGATTTAAAGTTTAGGTTCTGGCTACAAATTGATCTTAAAGGAATAGCAAAAAGGAAGATTTATGAAGTCATCCAAGCTAGATATAGAAACATGGCCAAACTCCATTAAGCAACCCTCGCATATGCGCCTAAGAATTGGCGCTAAATCAAGGAGCAGAAATCACTTAGGACCATGACGCGGCCTGATAAGTTGGCGGTTTTTAAAATTAATGGAGACGTTGGCATTGTTAAAAATCTCTGCCAGCTAAGCTGAGTGTTTTATGGTGCCGCTTTGTGGTGGTGGGCGTGGCACACATTTGGCCATTAAAGTTGAGCTCTGCTTAGCTTGCAATTCTTCTGCACAATGATTTGCAATGATGTGTGGCGTTACATTATAAATGATCCAAATGACATATATATGATATATATGACACATACCCAGTGCTTGATTATGCGCACAGATTTGACATTAAATTGATTTAACGCATCTTGGCTTGATAATTTGAAAGACAACTTGAATGTTGTGCACAAACGAAAGCTTTGGCGAAAGCTTTCAAGTGCTTTCAGTGTGCACCCTGTGGCTAAAGCTATATTTTTATGCAGTGAAAAGCTGTCACTGCTGTTAGCTAACAGCGCGTTAACAGCTGCTGTTAGGCATTCAAATAACAGAAACGTTAAACTTACCCACACAGCGATAAACATATTTTTATGCACGTGCAAACCCATGAGAAAACTCACCTGCAATGAGCAAGAAAATAAAATAAAATTAGTTGTTTAATTATTAAAAAGTTTGTCTGACACATATGTAGGTAAATCAATAAATTAACTGCACGTCAAGCTGCATTAAATGTAGACATTCACAGGTATTTAAATTGAATTAAACTTTAAAGAAAATGTGCAATTAAGCTGTTGCTTCCGCAGGTGATAATTGAAATGATATTCGATTTTAATGTGTGAAGCAGCTATTAAGATACCCAAGCATTCCTTAATTATGCTATTTCGATTCCCAAACAAATCTGACGACAAATCAGTTGAATGCCAGTTATTCGAGTGCCGCAATAATGGCGCAATATTTATAAGTATCTCTCTATGAGAGAGAGAGAGAATTATAGTGAAGAAAATTGGTATAAGCAACATTTTATATATATTGATATTAAACAACATAATAAAATAAATTTAAAAAAACAATATATATATTTTTGATCTGAAATCAAATCATGTTCAAAACTGTCAACGCTTATGTTATTTCTTTTCTTCCTTAATTTAATTTTTGACAACAATGTAATCCGAGACGTCAAGTTAAGTTTTCTTCTTCCGTTTTTAACTTCAAATGTTCAAGCTAACATTATATATGTAATTTTTAAACACATTCTTATGTATCCCATTTTATTTTGAAAACTTACTTTCTTTTATTGTTTTACTTTGCTAAATTAATTTGTTAATTTACTTTTAGTGTTTATTTGAGCCGCTTTTATTACCACAATGAAATATTGATATTAGCCTAGAAAGCGTTATGACCTTTTTAATTGCAACTTTAATCCCCAACGGGGACGGGGCAATAAAAACTGCAGTCACGGCTCATAAAAATCAACTATTCATAGGTCATGAGCCACCTGAAGTAGCTATCGATTCATATGCTTCAAATGACATATATACATTCCCATACATATATACATATATTGGTCATGAGATGACCTTCAGAGCGGCTTTAAAGTGTTTGCACTAGACGACTTAACCTTCGAGCTGATCAACATTACGCAATATATATATATACATATACATATATATACGTGTATATATAGAAACTGTATACATATGGACATATCTCTTTTTGCAACAGGCCATCAATAGCACTTGGTCTTTTATTTTTATTACGCTTCAAGTAGCCTTCGCCCAGTTGTTGATTTTATTTGTTGACAAGTGGGCGTGGCTGGCTGAAAGATAAATGTACACGGAGACATCCTTGTGTGCGAGTGCGAGTGCGTGCTGTGTGTGTGTGTGTGTGTGTGTGCGCGCGCCTCGAGCTGTTGACGACTGAGGCGTTTCGCCCAGGCCAAAATAAATCAAAACTAATTTCATTTGCTGACACACATGGCGTATGCGTGATATTTATTATATGCATATATCTGCTCACAAATGGACCCGTCTCCATTTCCATCACAGTCCTAATTGCCGCCAGTTGTGCCACAGTCGAAACAGCATAAAGTAGACAAACTCGAAGCCGCTAATAAACGAGCAGCCAATGCAAACGCTGAGCACGCCGCCAACGTTGGCTGTCAGAAGGAAGGCAAAACGCAATCATAAATTCAAGAATTCAATTAAGATGCAAATTCCATTTGCCGCTCATCATCAACTCACACAACAGCTCATACCAATTGTAGAGCCCATCCTGGCGATAGAGCGGCACACGCTGTCCACCATAGCGTATGCTCACTTTACTCTCCAGGGGCGACATGTAGCCCGACAAACTCTTGCTCAGCTCATAGCGCCAGTCATTGCAGGCAGGCAGGCACTCCTCACAGCTCCATGGTGACCAGCTCGCTGTTGGGAAGCAACACCAATGCGAACTCAAATCTTTAAGTGCTTTAAGTCCCAAATATATTCCTCGCTTTGTTAATTGCTCCAAAAGTTAAGGCAACTGATAGAAATTCAAGTCTATCTCTACTGTTTCTCAGCTCTAAAGCTCTAAATTAAATAAATTGAAACTTTCTAACTTTCATTTACATAGATACAGATATTGGCACAGTCTCTTGGCTTGGTACATGTTAAATATTGAAAGGTACATGCTAATTTGAAATTCTGAATATTATCTTCGAGTTCATAAAACGTATTCCAAATAATTAAGATTTGGATGTTGTTGCATGTCAAAGTACACGATATTCCCGTTGGTACATGGCAATTAATTTGGTACATGCTAAAACATAAATGTCCTTTGACAATCAGTTGAGAACATGTCTATAAGTTCTGGCAGTGAGAGTGTTATTTTTGTTAGGAACGCTTCCCCACTTACCCTCTAGACTCTGCAGGCAAGCTGTGTGCGCCAAATTACAGTAGCTCACATTGAGCTCTGCAAGCGCCGGCGAGGATAAGTCGTAGGCAAATGGCGCACAGTTGCAGGCAGCTATGGCGCTGCGTAGGCGACAAAGCGGCAGACACTGAACCAAATGCTCGGCCTCCTCGGCAAAGTGGCAGCCACGTTCGGCCAAAGGAAAACCGCGTAGCCGCGGATCAGCTTGCAAACGAATCGCGCCCAGCTGCAGGGCTGACGACTCGCCAGGCTGAAGGCTAAGTCGGCCCAACCAGCCAGGCAGATGCAGGCTAAACCCCGCATTGAGTCGAGTTCTCGGCATACGAAAGTCATCCGCACGGGAGGCATTCAGCCGAAGCGTGAGTGTTGCGCCCGTTATTCTGCCCGGCTGCTGCAGGACACAACAGCAGCCCTCAAAGGTGGGCATCAGACGAAATAGCTGGGTGCAATTGAGAGCAACTGCATCCAGGTGGCAGCTAAGCAGCAGCGATTCGCAGCTGGGTGACAAATGCAACAGCTGCTGTCGCACATGCCACACCACCTCCTGAGCATCAACCAAGGCAGCCTGTAGTCTAGCGGCACTCGCAGCCTCCACGGCGCTGGGAAAGAAGTAGCCGGAGAGCAGAGGCAGCCGCTGGAGCCAGTAGTCCGTGGCATTGCCGCTGGAGCTGGCCAGCTGCTGGGCCAACTCGTGCAGTCGCTGGCGACTCAGTTTATTTGCGCTGCAAAGGGTCAGCGCAGGAAACGGCATATCCTCTGCAGCTGAGCTCTGGTCGGATAAAGAGGTAACCGTGGACCGAGCCAGAAACTGCAGCAACGTTGAAAAGACCACAAAACTGGCCGAGAGCATGCCCACGGCAATAAACAGAAACCAGAAGAAGCGCTGATAGCGACGTCTTCTGATAAAGTACAACAAACCGAAGCCATTGAGGCTCGTCTTCTTGAAGTACTCGACAAGTGTGACACGCAAAGCTCTGCCCAGGCGAGACATCTTTTCATTTGCGGGCACTCCAGCCCCAGAGTATGCCTATCGCGCTCCACAAGCGACCAGGTGCGATATCTAAATAGAACTAAAACCATGAAGCGGCAGGTAAATTCGTGCAGCGAGTGTCACACGATATCAAAAGGCTGTCGAGTTTATCAGATGAACAGAACACAGACACACGACAGCCCACAATACAATAAAAAGGAACCATAATTAACCTCAGGATAAACACGTAAATTATCGTAATTATCGCGTGACACGACAAGTGAGAATAATACAATTATTTTGCCGTGTCAGAGCACAGGAGAACAACGTAAATCACTTTTAAATTACAATAGAAAAAAAACTAACATTCTATAATTTAAAATTTTGGTACGAATCGAAAAAATAAACAATTCTGTCAACACTTTTGCAAGGCCGAATGATCGCCCTTTTCATAACCTGAACCCATTGCAAATGGGCAAAAAGGATAGATGGGTTCTCACAGTTTCTAGCATACGATTTATTTAAGAGTCAATCAATGGCGTCTTGGAACATAAATTCTGAAGACACACGACTGTTTATTTGAGTCTACTGCCTTGCATTGGGAGGCGGCCTATCTCGCAGCTCTTCGGATCTGCCACAACCGACACAAAACTACCCGAAGGGCCGCAATCAAACACCGGGACGGAATAAGCACCATGGACTCCAGATTATAAGGCTCGATAATCGATAGTTTGCCCCGTTTCCAAGCAATCTCTACATATTCATATCGAAATCATATTTTCTGAGCAGGCTTATAAGAGCTAGAGTACCCATATTTGTCATGTAACTTCGAGATTAGCATATATATCCATCATTTTATAGATTTCAACTTAACATAATTCATAAATTTTCTATTCACAATCAAACTAGAGGACAAATCGTGATCAATAAGTTATCTAGCATTGAAACTAATCCATTTTGGAAAGAGACTAAGGAATTATAAATCTTGTAGAGGGAAATTGCAAGTCAAGAACAAATCTATGCTTAGATATTTATAAATCAAGCTTAAGTTTTTTTTGGCAAAAATTGTTTGCAATTGAAGCGTAACATCAATTAATTCGCTCGTCGATCCCACATTCATGTTGTCTTCAATAGGCACAAAAATCGGTTTATGTGAAGATTTATGGCGCTTGAATATTAAAGCAGACATTTACAAGTTTTGTATTGTGATTGTCAGCTGGAATGTGTGTCTGCCCAAGTAATTTCGTCAGATTGCGTGTTCGGTTAAATTATATTTAATTCAACAAGTGGGCGGGCCGTTTAAAGGCATTGACTACATTAAGTTGAAAAGTTTGTTTGTGTGTGGCAAGTCAAACGGCACATGCGAACCGAGCAAACTCAAACAGAACTTAGCCAAGAGCAGGCAGAAGTGCCACACATGCAAATACACACAGATACAGACACACACACACACACACACACACAGATACAGTTACAGCTACAGCTATTTCTACATCTCCAGCGACTCGCAGACATGCAATATAACGAGCTTTAGCCGCAATTTAGCGCACAGTTAGAGAGAGAAACTTGCCAACGCGGCGTTGCATATTAATAGAAAAGCGAGCGAAGCCAAGGAATTTTATAATAGCCAAACCGCACTTTGAATACTCTACACAGATCTTTGCACGACACTTTCTATTTATCAACTTGGCATGGAAAAATCAAATAAGTTCTTTAATAGCAGTTTTTTTTTTATGGCATCGTTAAAGCATATTTCGCTTGACGCAGCTGTTCGATAAGCTATCTGAACAATAAAACTAAAGTGATATTCATTTGGGAATAGCCTGAAATAATTGCATGCACATATATCACATTTGGAATTGCAAAAAACGAATTATTCGATTTATATGACGAAAGACAAGTAAAAAGAGGAATGTAATTCGATCAATTTTAGACAAGTCGATAAGTTTGATGAATATCGATAACATTAATAGCAAAGCTATCGATTGCCAGTTATCGACCAACTTCGTGGGCATCGATAACTTTGATAGATTTTGAAGGTATCTTAAGCCAGAGCCAGAAAATCGTGAGTACAAAAATTATATTTACTGTTAATCGATATACTTCGTAGCTATCGATAACTGTACTGCCAACTTGTTTTTTCTGCAAATTTATCGCAGCCTAGTCAAAGTTTCTACAGAAAATAATTCGAATTGAGATGATTTTCATCCTATATTCATACAAGTTCGATTTTCGTGTATACCTCAGCTACAAGTGAAAGCAAATATATAGTTTGCCAACTAGCGCATTATATAACCACCCCATCCCCTGCCCCTTAGCACAATCAAGCCCTGGACACCGCACTCCTTCAGCAGCAGCCGAGTGCAGCAGAGTTAAAGAGCCAAAACGCAAAGCGAATAGCAACAACAACAATGCGACAAGTGTACCATAAATTCCAATGAGAAATACACACACGAACACCCCCCCCCCTCCCACACACACACACACACACACACACACTTATAGAAAACCAATCGACGCCCACACAAAAATAATTTCCGGTTCAATTAAACGCTTGTTTATTTATTTATTTATGCGATGCTCCCACAGGCGGTTGCTGTTTAGGAGGCAACAGAGAGGAACTGGAAAGGGGGGACAGGGGAAGGGCGGCACCGTGTGTTGTCTGACGTCGTTTGGTGGCTGTGGCTTTTATTTTCATTTGCATACGCTATTTAATTGTGGGCAGCAAGAATTGGCATTAATTTGTTTATGAATGAAAACCGCAAAGAGAACAAAAAAACCTTCGAAAGATTAAAGCGAAGACGAGACGCACTCGGGTCGAGTTGGCAGCGCTGTAAAATTAGAACAAACACACACACACACACACAAAGATACACACACACACACACACAAAGATACACACACACACACACAGGATGTCGCCTGAGGCAACTGTGCATCGTTAATCTTGTCAAAGCCAAAGCGAAAGCCTTAAAGCAAGTTGGCAGCTCCGGGGCAAAGGCATTAGTTAAGGACCAATGCAAAGGCAAAGGAAAAGAGCGAGATAGAACTAGAGGGAGAGCGAGAGAGAAGGCTGAGGACTGCGATCCTGTTAACCGCAAAATGATTGCATACTTTAATGGGCACAGCACTTAGGCCAGCTTGTCAGCTACTCCAACTGCTCTCCAGCACACTGCAACACTTAACCCTCATACCCCGCCCCGCAGCCCGCATGCCAGCCACCTAGACTCTCCATGTCAAAGCTTCCTGCTGCAGTTGCGATAGGCACAAGGCGGATGCTGCAAATTGCAATTGAATCAAACTAACTGCGAATGGATAGCGAGAGCGCGGGTTTGGGGCATTGCGAGGGGTAGACAGCGGGCAAATACGCAAATGTGAAAGGTTAAGGGCTGCGTCATGCGTGCCACAGCTGCAGTATGCAGGCTGGCTTTCAAGTGTGCCACATTTTGTGGCACAGTGCAAGAACCACAGCGAGAAATTCTGACTGTGAAAAGTTAATGTGCAAATGCTCCCAACATGCTCATTTCTTATTCGCATTTTAACTAAAATCTCAAATGTTCTTTAATAGACGAAAATAAAATACATAAGAAAATTTAAGCTGAGCAATTCATAAAAGACGAAATAGTAGAAGAAAAAAAAACCAACGTATATCCAAGTTTTGTAAGGAAAACTTTTAAATAATCCAAGACAAATGGAAAATGTTTCTCAAAGAAGAACAAATTGTAAGAAAACTACAGATTAACATTGAGGAAACCTGATAGAAACACATAAATTTATTAAATTTAACAATTTTTAGATATCATACAAGCTATTCACTTAAGAATTTTCAAGTCAAGAACATAAACTTAAACGATTTTTAAGCAGTTTTAAGGTTTTTTTTTTTTTATTTTCAATAAGAGATTCTCTCAAAAAACGTAAATAATTTCAATAGCAATTAGTTTATATATGCACTAAAATCGTGTTAAGGCCAAAAACCTTTTAAATGCACGATAAATAACAGGAATTTGAGTGTGAGAGCTTATGCATAGCGGTAAAGGGCAGCCATATCTTGGCAGCTTATTAAGCTCACATAACAAATCGCTAGAAAAGTGCAAAAGACAACAAAAAATCACTTTGCACTCAAAAGGCTGTCGAGCAATACACAAGCTGCCCACAAATACACATACACATACACATCACAAACACGCACGCACACATGCACTCGAAAATCCTTTAACGCGACAAGAAATGGCGAAGACACACACACAAACATATAAAAAGAAATAAAGGCAAGGCAAATCTCATGCATTTTGCACACACAGATTTTACAGGGCAATAAAAAAGGCGGCGCTGCCCGCCGTCACGAAGCTGTGCTGCCATAAAACTGTTAGCTAACAGTGCGATAGTTTGCCATAAAGAGAGCGAGAGAGAGCGAGCGCTGCTTGTCAGCACGTGCGCATGCACGCTGCTTTGTGACGTCGTTAATGACGTTTTGCAAGCGAACAATGCGAAAATGCGTAGAAGGCAAAATGAAGAAAGCAGCCGCTGTCGCAGCGCTGCAGCGTAGCCGCTGCTGAACTGTTGCAAAGCTGAGGCGGCCTAATGAGCGGAAGGAAACGCGACGCCATTACATAAACGAGAGATGACAAATGATAGAGGGCGCGAGGGGCGGCGAGGGCGGCGTGAGAGACGCAATGGTTAACGATGTGCGTTTCATACACACACACACACACACACACAAGCACACAAGCACACACATTTACATACCTTTGAAACAAGCACAACCCATGATGTAGCCCATCATCAGCGTGGCTTTGAGGTCGCTTTTAAGCTGCCCAACGTTCTGCTGCTGCTTATTGTTGTTGTTTTACTGTTAGTTTGCTTATTAAAGTTATTTTTAAGATTTCATCAGTTTGGTGCATCAATTAACGGCAGTTATGTGAATTCCCTCTCGAGCGAGAGAGAGAGAAAGAGAGAGAGCGGAAGCTAGTCCTGGTGCCGGCTCTCGTGTATTTGTTTTGTTTGTTTGTTTGTTTTTTTTTACCGTTTTAATCGCCTGCGGCCTTATCAAACGTTCACGTTCACGTTTAACGGGCCAAGATGCAGGTTGTGCGTATGTATGTTTGTTTGTATATACACATACATATGTATGTATGTATTTGTGCGTTTGTATGGCCCCTTGAAACTTTTATTTATTTATTAATTGTTGATTGTGACGACAAACTTTGATTTACACACGACTTTATCACATGTTCTACGGCTTCTTTATTTGCTGCTTCTTCTTTTTCTTCTTCTTGGCTAATAAAGCATTTTCTAGTTGATTCTTTTTATTATTGTTTATCACTTATTGCTGCAGATTCTTTAGTTTCGACGTTATTTGTGCGGAAAATTTACGCTCTTCGATGATTTCACTCGTTTATATTTTGTTGTTAATATTTTTTTCATTTGTGCGTTCAATTTCGATTGTTTATAATTTTAAAATTTATTAAACTGATTGTGCTGAGTTTGTTTTTGTTTTGTTGTTGTTATACTTTTTTTCATTTCGCCCATTATTCAATACGTAATTTATAATATCACAAAAAGATTCACTGACATGGGGCAAAAGGCAATTAAAAATTTTGTGTTCTCAAGTTCATTCAGAAATTCATCAGAAATTTCAAATATTTAAAAACGCTTTTCTTATGCATAATTGGACAGGTGACTAAGGCTTGTCTATAAATAGAGCCTGTGCTCAAGCCGGAAAAACAGGAGGAATGTACGAAGAAAATGCATACAGAGCATTTTATATGATTATGGTTGAATGACATTAGCTTAAGTGTACGCAAAGTGTCATTTATAAAATATTGCTTGAGGCAAACAAACAGCTTTTGAAATACATGAAAGCTCTATAGTATCAATACTCAGATAGCTGAAAGCTCTGTACGCTAAAAGCTCAATTGATTGACTATAAAAGCACAAGTGCGCTTGAAATCATACGAAAGTTTCTGCATATTTAGTCTCAATACAGAAAACTCAACGAAATGGTTTTCAAATCACACGTAAGCTCATTTAAGAACATTGTCTACCGTTTAACTTAATCAAGCTGCTTTTAAATGTACTGAAAATAAGCTAGAAATTGCAAAAAAGCTTCTGTTCCGAGCATCAACAATGCTTGTAAACATTAAACAACTTTGAAAGCTCATTAAAGCTTGAAATAACAAAAAAAAAAAAAAAACATATTCCGAGGTTTAATAAAACTTTAAAGCTCGTATCATTATTATTCTAAAAGAAAAAACGTAAGCTTCGTCAGCCTGACTTGTTGATTTAATCAGACAAGCTTGCCCTGCATCATAATAGATAGAAGTATTTCAGTATTCTTGAAGCTTAGATCATTATTTACAGCTCAAAAAGAGGGCACTTGATGCACATTAACACACGCACACACACACATATAGAGACACTAGCCTGGGCTCATTTCACTTGTGGAATGAAAACCAACACCAGCAGCAGAGTGTGCACTTGCACACATAGCTGTCACACAGCCTCCCAAACCAATTGATAAAGATTATAATCCAAAAGTTGACAAGACGCGCCAGGCACGACATGGAACCGGGTCGTATGAGTCGGATGAGACAGCTGCATTGATAGCTACCACAAAAGCAGCGAAAATTCAATAGAACATTTTAATTGAATGCGAAGCGACGAGATGAATCGAAATTTGAAATCGCAATCGGGATGGGAATCGGAATGGAAATGGGAGGCGTTTTGACAAAAGAAACTCAACAAACCACCGGAGAGCGAGAATTGAATACCGGAAGCTGCAGTGCGACAAATTTAGCAACAATTGTGCACAATTAAAAAAAATACGACAAAAGATAAAAAATGAAAATGAATTCGCGAGACTTTCGCATCAAGTATACGCCACCATAAAAGTGAACATCGATGCGAGAATTATAATTGATGGCCGGGCGAGCGAGGCGCCCACCATACATATTCAAGAATTCCAGCTCCGGTACTCTGTATGTCTGTATGTGTCGGGCTCTACGATGGCCCCCGGCTGGAGGTCAGTAGCACATGGCGAGGGAGCATTGGGGCCGAGCAGCGATTGGCGGGGCGCTGCACAAGCTGTTGAGACATTGACATTGTCATTTTTCGACTTTTATGGCGTCTTAAAAATGTATCTCGTAAATATGAACGCAACAGAAAAAAAAAAAACAAAATAGCATGTGGGCAGCACAGTTTTTAATTGAGGCAAAACGAAACGAGAGCCGAGAAATGGGCAAAGCGAGAGAACACACATTAAATGAACAAGCTTAAATTCAATAGTCGAGCAGCGGATACCCTATAAAGAGATGTGCGGAATGTATTAAAAATTAATTTATTCTTCTAAGAATTACATCTTAAGTGCAACGTTTACGAATACTGTGTAAAGCAGAATTGAAAAGAAGTTGTATGTAAAAGTTCAACAACTGATCGTTTAACCCTAACATATTCCAAATGA